AATTCAAACTTCCTGCCTTATACGGACGACCTAAAACTATTTAAATGCATTCCATGCTTTTCAGGTGCTTTACTTTTACAGAAGGATCTTAACACTTTAGCGGCCGCGGTCTGACATTCGGAAGGTCCAGGTTCATGATTTCGTTGCTTCTACGACTACATATTCTGCTGCAATATCATCAAAGGCGAATCCGAGTTAAGCCTCAGTTACTGCTATGTCTTAAGTAAATTCTATACCTGCTATTATTACGATACCTACAGTTTCTCACACTACTCCAAAATCTAAGAATATTCTAGTTGCTTGGTGTAATGCTAACTCTGAGCTTGATGTTGCTGATGCGGCTAAGAAGTGGGTGGATATTTCATCTTCTAAGCTATTTGTTACTGCTAATGATATTATTTCTTATGTAACTAAGCATTAATCAAGGTACTTCAATGAATGAGTTAACTTTAAACTTGGAGTATCTCCAACTTATTATAATGCACTTTTAGACGCGATTTTGTGCCCTTTAGGCATAAGTATTCGACCGTTCCGTGTAATCATATATGTTTTATCATGTAAGCAGATTATGTCAGACTCTTTATATCAGTTCATTCTATAGAAGATAGAGAGGTTTTGTAACTTCACTTAAATAATTTATTTAGGTGATGCGATGCGAACTGTGAGTCCCTAAATTTAAGTAAATGCAAACATATGTGTTTTAGCAAAAAATCTTTCCAATTCTTTGACTATATGACACATAATCATATAGAGTTGAGCAATTTACTGACTTCATTGATTTAAATGTCATGGATCCTTAGCAAGATTTTAAAAATCATATAAATGCTTGTGCTAATAAGGCAAAAGGCATTTTAGCTTTCATTAAACGTTACCTCACTTGTTAGGCCCATTTTGGAATATAGCTCAGTTGTATGGAGTCCGCACTATCAGTTGTATAGTGATAAATTCGAATCTGTACAAAAGCAATTCCTACTATTCGCTTTAAGAAATTTAAGCTGGGATGCGAACAAGAACTTGTCTCCATACAAAAGTCGTTTACGTCTCATAAATCTGCCTACACTCCACAGTTGTAGAAAGATGCTTGGAGTTTTATTTTTACCTAAATTAATAAGATGTGTTGTCAACAGCCCATTTCTACTTAGCAAGCTACACTTTAGACCCCTTTCATTGGGCTAATGCAGGACAAACGTTGAATTGCACGACCCTTGTAGATCTTTGTGTAGCGATTTAATATGCATTTCGCCAACTCCCATGTAAGTTTTTAGCAGCTGTTGAACAAATCTGTAGCTGTTTAGTGTAAAAGGCAAATAAAACCGCGACCTTCCGCGATCGGTTTCAGTTTTAGTCCTCGCCCCTCGCCCTGTTGGGCAGGAAGTGGGTAACGCTGGGTTCGTCGTAGTAAAAAAACGAGATATCACTGCACATATGAAATGATTCTTTGCTATCGAGAATTCAGGTATTATCACCACAGGATTCTTGAGTTTTTAAGTCGCATAAATTAAGTACTGATGGAAGCTTCGATCTTTTGCATTGTTGCTTACCGCAACAATAACACTTCACATGGCTAGAGTCGTAAAAATCACTAATATCATTAAATTTGTCTTAGAAAAATTTTATTTGGGCACTTATTTCGTTAGTATGTCATTCACATTAAATAATTATTTTAGTTTTCATTTAAAATAAGTTTTTATTTTGTTGACAAAAATGCAATCATTTGATCACAAATCGGCTGTTGTCCCTACTTGCCAGTTACGCGCCCATGGGCTCACGAAATAAATCTTAGAATACATCATTCTTGGCTCGAACATCTGTAGTCCTTTTCATTATATTGTGCTCTTCGGAGATTTATTCTACATTTCATTAGAAGAAGTTGTAAATGATAAAATCATTAACGATAAGATTTTATCTTTTCTTTATAAATCGTAAGTTTTGCAACAACTGCTGCAAATTTCATTAGGATTGGTCAATTAGTTTGGCTGAAACAAGCATTGGAACCATAATGGAAAGTACAGCCATATAAAAGAAACTCAAAATTACTTAAACAATAAAATATGTTGAAGACTTAAGTGGACAATAAATTAATATCATACTTACAGGCCTATTCTCACTGTTACCAGTAAAGTAAATTTTGTTACTTTTCTGTAACACCCGAAATTGAATTTGGTATTCTGGCGAACTGATTACAATGTTTGAAAAAACTTGGGCAGCACTGCTTTTTTCCTCCTTATGAAATTACATTTGCCAGTTGATATAGTAAAAAGAAAAATATTCACATCGAAATTAAAAGTTTTAGTAATATGTTTACTAAATCATAAATATTTGAACCGAAGTATGGAAAATATGCCTGGACAACAAAAAAAGCTGAATGAAAACGTTATTTTATAAATTAAAGAGCTATTTGCCTACCATTTTGATTTTTTATTTGATATGTTTGTTACCTCCTATTTCGCTGGTAACAAAATTTACAGCGTAACAGCAAAGAACGTATATTAATTAATTAATTAATATACGTTCTTTGGTAACAGTGAGCTCAGAATACGAAATGTCAAGGCAGCGAGGAAACAACTTTGGTGTAGGGCGCAGGCGTCTATGAATGAAAATCTTATTGTTGTATTTGATTTCAGTGCTGAGCTTTTAGACAAGAGAAGCATTTAGAGGGATGGAGTAATTTGTTTTCACGCAAATAATGTGTATATACATATGTTTTTGCATATGAGTAAATGAATATACATACATATGTACATATGTATACATATATGCAAGTAATTCTTGAGGCAGGTCATTATTTTGTATTATGTATACATGCATAGGTACGTATATATGTACCTACAAATTGATTTATAAGTTAATAAGATTATTAACCAAACATCTAATTAATTTATAAAAATACAATTCATGAATAAATAACCTTCCATACAAAACAACGCTATTGCGGCAAATCGTCCCTTGCTATTGCTATTGGATAATATAAATATATATGTATGTATATAAATACAAAATGAAGGGTGAAATCATACCCTATTTCATTTCACTATGAAAATTAATTTATTTCATCAAATAAATATGGAAGCAAAATTATTTAAATTAATTTGAAATAAATTCAAATTGAATTCGCATCATTTGCCTACTTTTCATTTTTGTTATCATCGTCGCCGTAAAAATGCCGAGAAAACATAAGAAGACTACCCCTTCGAGGTGAATTTAATTTGCGAAAGAAGGTCCAAAGCGGACTCATTCCGTCTGTGAAACCTGAGCCACTTCAGTAAACAATTCACAGTTCTTTTCCCTTCTTATTGATATACGTTCTTTGGAAATGGTAACAAAATTTACTGAATGGTAAATTTTAATACCTATGTAAATTTTGTTACCTCGACAGAATAGGCCTGTGAATGGTAATAAATTTAAATCAACCTCGATTATTTCCTAAATCCTACGGGTACGATCTCTGGATTGTTAAATAAAAACTCGCCAACATAATTTGCAGTTTCTTTCGTTATAAAGAATTTATCTAATATTACAAAGCACTTTACTAGCTACAATCACTAACATCAACTTTCACAATTTACTCTACTTAAATGTGATATCCAACGTGTTTACTTTACTGATGCTAACGCCAACCAGTTCACTTTGTAACTAACTTAACTTGGCAGCCGAGTGTCGCCTTTATATAGCAGTCGGCTGCTCGTAGACGAATACTCGATTTATTCGCTATCGAAGGTTCTCGTTTTATCGTTTCTAGAATGTACTAGTTATCGGCTTCTCTCTTTCATCTGACATTCGCCTCGCATTT